CTCAGTTGGCAGAGCATTGGGCCGGTATTCCAAAGGTTGTAGGTTCAAATCCCACTGTGGCCAGGCATATTTTTCAAGCCTGCCCAGTGTGGATATCCACTCAGAGTACGTAACATCACACAAGCATCTTATTTACCTGAGTACATGTGTATTACACCAACACAGCAAATATCTTGATGGAATGAATTGGTCAGCCCGAGGTAATGTATTGAATCAATATTTGAGGAACACTTAAAAATAAGGTATGAATCGCATAAAATGCAGATATCAAAATCAAACATTGTAACTCGAGCATAAAAATGTGCATTGTTTTAAAAGGCGATTGTTCCTTGAATGTTCAATGAAATAGTGCCATTGCCTTTTACAAGGAAGACCATTATAAAGAAATACACTTGACTTTCTTCATTGCCACCTGGTACTTAGTACAGATATCCCATATTTTCTTGATAAATTCATACCTGAAAGCGGAATACATAAAGGTGTAAAAAACTTTAATGGTGATATAAGTGCTTTATATTCCAAAGAGTTGCTTTTCCCCACAATTTACTAATAGATTAAACTGGTATTAAAATCTCTAAAAAAACCTTTGTCACTCACTCACTCAGGGAAATTTATAGCAGTATGGTTTTCAACAAGCTATATTTGCTTAATTTTACTTGCTGGGGATTGTTATAATACTCGTGTTTTAAAAAATAATCTTGATAGTCAGTTGCAACACAAATTCACAAATTATACAACAAGAATTGATAAATCATTTCAATGACTTACATGCTTTGTTCTTGTGGCCGTCAAGCTCCATTCATGTCTTTTTTTATTAATGGCTTTCGGTCTTTATTGATTTATACGCGCAGTTAGAATAATACTGTATTTTCAAAAGGACGAAAATCAAAAATATACTCTCTGTCGATCAACTAATATAAACATACAAAATCACTGTAAAATCCAGGGGGGGTTGAACTTTGTCGCCCACGAACATTCGAGCCACGGGTCAGTGGAAACCCCCATGAAAATAGGTCGATTGTGACGTCAAATCCGCCATGTTTTTGGCCACACACTTTCGTCGAGAGCACGATCTCCAGATATATAAGTATAGCTCAGTGGTATGACGTCCTAAACACTGCATTTTTCACCGAGTGAACTCGTTTTATATCTTTACTCTTTGGTAAAATTCTGCATGCTTGCGCAATTATTTGTTTACGTGACACGAACATGCGGACCGTTATAATTAAAGCTAAACACGAATAATTCTTATCTTTAACTTGAAAATGATGCAAGAAGCATCGAAACGTTGTAATAAAATAAAATTAATATCGCTATCACTTGTTTCAAATTTACTTTTGTATTTGCTAGTGTAAAAGCATGGCATGTATTTTTTCCCGGCTCATGCTACTAACTTTCAGACGAAGAGCTTTCGCTGGAAAGGGCCTTCGCTTTTAGGTAGTTTCATCATACACACAAGTTTGCTTTTTGCAGTTTTCTGTTTTAATTTGTTTCTTTTCCAGCGGCCCTAGAATATCTTTCGTGAAAACTGTTTAAATGGCAACCGTCTTTTACAATTTTACCTTTTTCGTCTTCTATAGTACAGCAAATACCCCAATACCAGTGCCAAGGCTACCAGGAGAAGAGTAACGGTTACAGCAATAGCAGTGGAATTTGTTCCATCCGACTCTGATACCTCTTCTTTAGGACCTTCCTGTAGGTTTACTGTAGTGGAAGTTATTGGGGTTGGTGATTGGCTTGGAAGTTTGGAGGACATCCTTTGGTCTTCTGTAAATTGACTGCTTCTAGTTAGTGTGGTAGGTCGTGTTGAATTTAACCAGGGGAAAGTGAAGGGGACTTCTCTAGTGCTCGTGTAATCTTCAGTAGGTGGAGCACTTTGGTATGATGAATGTGATACGTCCGTGGAACTTGATGTAGGAGAGACCTGGACAAGAATTAGAAAATTGCATATAAAGCAAATATATGATCTGTAAAAGTAAATATAAAGTAAATATTGATCTGTGGTGCAGTCTTCAGAGAAAGCAGCTCTATTTAACCTCTGAGAGTGGAGATTTTCTTGTTCTCTCTCTGGACCAAATAACCTAGAAGAATCTGCTCAATATCGTGGATGTTTATTGGTATTTCGGTTTCCTGCTACAGGAAAGTTGACATAGTTCAAGAAGATGATAAGAGCTTTAATAGACCTTATGTATAATGACGTCACAAGGCTTGATGCCCGCGAGGAATCCTGGTCTTAGTAGTCATCGCCCGGAAAAATTAATCAATTCAAAATGGCTACAAACGAAAATTTTCCGGGCGATGACTACTAAGACCAGCATTCCTCGCGGGCATCAAGCCTTGTGACGTCATTACGCATTAGGTCTATTGAACATTTTCTCAGCACATGTGATATAATCTAAAACAGTTTGCGCCAGTGTAGGTATAGTGCCAATAATAAGAAAGCTTCGGATTGCTCGGCATGCAACTGCCTGAAAAATGCAAAGAGAACTTCAAAGTTCTCGTTGAAATTGTCCTTGTATTTTCGAATTCAGGTATAGTTCTCTCTCTTCTCTATCAATGCGAAGTTTTCTCAATACATGTGCCTGCGTATTCCTGATCATGATGAAACTCTTCGGATATGTCTAGAAATAGCCCTACTTTAATAGATACACCACATCGTACATTTACCATATATTCCTATCCCTTGCTTACTTTTTAACCTAGTTGATATTTATTTCGCGCTGTTACAAGCCAACATTAAGATCAACTGGACTCAGAGGCCGCGGAAGCATTTCGAAAGTGGAGGGGCATTGGCCAAAAGGGGCACTTTTGTATATGATCAAAAGTGAATGTCGTTCACGAGCCGAACGAAAATTTTTGAAAATATGGAGTCTCTATAACGTCTGAAATGGCCTTTACAGACTCTTTACTACTGCAAAAAGGGCACTTTCTTTCCAGCAAAAGAGGGCGTTCATTCAAGAAATACTTTTTTCGTTCCTTAAATAGGGCACTTTAGCCGAGAAAAAAAGGCACTTTTTTCACTTTTAAAAAAAGTGTGTGTGTGGGGGGGGGGGCATGCCCCATTGCCCCCCCCCCCCTGTTCCGCGGCCCCTGACTGGACTGATCAACCAGTTGATGAAAGAGTGTAATACTAACCTCAGGATATAATGGCAAAGATTTCAGTTTAAGAAGAACACAATGCACTTCCTCTGATTCTTTATTTCCGCAAGAAACGTTGACTATTAACAGTGAACCGTTCCAGGCTTTCAGATTTTCCATCGATCTAATCTAAAAAAGTGGTGAAGAAGAACGTGAGAAAGGGTCTTTTGTACATGTCGACATCTACTATAGGCATAACAGTGGTGCACTACTATAACAACTGTAACATAATATTTTCAATTTGGTCGTGAACTTCCTTTCTTATATACTCTAAAAATTCACACGAAATTATTGACATTATATTACTTAAAACTTGGTAAAATGAAATTCATTATAGAAAGTAGGTGCAAGAATTTCACCCGTATTCTAAAAGCTCACTCAAACGCAATGAGTGGAAGTTCAATCTAAGCTTCTCTCGAGTGTCATTGCTGTTTTTGAATAGCTGGAGGGTAATTATGGTATGTGTCGTACCTTACTATGTGACTACTCACCCTCCAGCTTTTCAAAAACAGCAATGACACTCAAGAGAAGCACAGATTGGACCTCCACTCATTGAGTGAGCTTTTAGAATACAGGCGTTAGTGGTTTGGTTGTTTGGTTATGGTATGCCATACGTTCAGGCTTTCGACTGGATAAATGCTTTGATTATTCTGTGTATAGTCTCAGGCAGACCACTGGTTATTATTTTAAAAACTTTAATTCCTTGCATTAATTACTTCGCTTCAAAAACTAAGACTGGAAATAACTGCTTAAATTGGACTTAAAATTCGATCCTGTCAATTCATGCAGTCAGTCAATTCGGAACACACTACAAACGGTTATGCATTTACACGTGACCACATTTGTTGACTTGCTGAAATATTCGTAAAGCTTGTGCACCCTTTAATCTGTTTACCTTGAACTCTTTTGTATCTTTATTTTTACCATTAATATAGAAGTGATCACTACCGTTGCCTTTCCATTCTTGACCATCTCGAATGAATTTAAATATCTCCCTTACTTTGCAGCTCCTGTCATGTTCTTTGGAAATTGGAGCAGAAATTTTCAGTTTGGGATTCGTCTGGCTGTAATCAAGGTAATGCATGAAAGAGCCATCCGAGAAACGATAACACCCTATGGAAAAATATAGTAAGGCATCTTTGAAATGCATTTACAATCATGCAAAATGTTATTTATTTATGACATGGCATACCTTTGTAGTCTTGACTTGTTTTACAAGTATTAGAGATTTCTTTACTGCTCCATGGTTGGGGTTTTTCCCACCACCACCACAACTTTCGGGAAAAGGCATAGCTTTTCCCCCGCCATGAGTTGTAAAAGTGCAAAAATCGTTGATTGCCCCATCCAATGTTCATTTTAGCGTCTTTTTTAGTGCACAGTAATTTTTGCGAATTAGAAGTATTCTCACATCGTTCCATGGTCACTGCGCTGTTGTCACGTATTCTTTTCATACATTTAAGTGTTTTAACATTCATGAGTTGTTTATTCCCTCTAATATTTGGCCATATCCAAAGCATATCAAGGGTAGGCGATTCGTCACAATATGTCCCAGTCATATATTTGCCACTTGAACTACTTTTCAAACACTGGTGAAAGTGTTCATTCTTGAGCGAAAATGCTTCCTGAGGTACTGCAAAAAGAATAAATTTATGTTATTTCCTGAAAATATTTTCCTGAGGTTTCAGGACGAAGAACGAAGGTACGGGCCGACCTTAATGGTAAATAACATGGGATGCATGGTTAAATGAAATTCTTATAAAATTCCAGCGTTGCGAAGCACATTTGAAAAGCGCGTGGGAGTCTGTCTTGCCGGGAAGCTCACCTGATTTGGGTGAATTATGATGTGTTCATATATGACTGTTTTTATCCCACCCAACATCCGTGTTATTTCATCTTGGAAAAGTAATAGTGAAAGTCACCTAAACGGACATGAAATTCTGGTCTTTCCAAAAGTGTTCATATTATTATCTCAATGATTCACTGTAGAACGTTTGAACAATTAAAAATTATTTAAACAAGTGAAACCACAGTTAATAGAATACATGGTTTGGAGACTCGATGAAAGTACAATATAACTCATTTGTATTTTTTCCCGCACAACCAATAGCAATGTTTAAATTGAGCATTTGTTCAAGTTACGGATGGATAACTCAACCACAAACTTGTTATTGGTTATTTGAGCGAAAATACAATACACACGTGACGAGATAGGACCAAATTCTTGCACAAAGCTGGACAATAACATGGTTAATGAGTTATATTGTACTTTCATCGAGTCTCCAAACCATCTATTAAAATAACTGTGGTGAAAGTGATCAGCAATTTAATAAACACAGACAGCTCAAACTCACATGGATACATATACAATACAGCAAATATTATAGTACGCGCCCAAGTCAAAATTAGCATTTTGTGAATTGTTTCATTGAAGACAATGGGGAAAACATAATCATAATACCAGATTTGCTTCAAGATTGACTTATTCTATTCCAAAGATAAGAACAAATTATGGGAAATTTAATATACGCTTTTCGGGCGTAAAGGTATGGAATGAAATTAATGATGAAATAAAGAAACTTAAACCATCAAAATTCAAAG